GGGTGTGGCTGTGTCTTGCAGGGGTGTGGCTATGTATGAAGCATGTTTAAGAAAGCTTCTGTATTAAGATATGTTGATTTATGTTCTTTTTTTTGGATTTTATTGGATTTTAATTTTTATATATTATTATTAATACATATACTTCTACTTCTATGAAGTGATGGTATGTTTACGTAGACTATTTTATTATGCTGTATTGTTATGTAGGGGTTTAATTATGCTTTTGGAGAGGTATGTTGTGTCTGTGTATACCGCTGTATTCATTGTGGTTTTGTACGTATGTTATACATGTGTTTAAAGCTTTTGTGTTTTTCCCGGGTTTTTGCAGGGAAAGTGGTTATGTATGAAGCGTGTTTCAGAATGTTTCTATTTTCAACCATGTTAATTAATGTTATTTTATAGTCTTGGTTATGATGGTGACGCCAGATACAGCTGTTGGGAATAGTGGGGGGGGGGGGGGTTGTAGTGTGTGTTGTATTCTTATAGTAACTATTTGCACAGGGATGTTGCATACGGGTTGTTATAATGTTTCATTTCTAGTTTTCCATGAGCATCTGTTTTATGTCTGCATGTTAAACTATATGCTTCCTTGTGTTGCGATTTACGTTCTGTGTTTTGTTTTTATTTATACATTGTTATTATGGGTTTGTACCACTGTAATGTAACATTTATATATTGTTATTATGGGTTTGAACCGCTGTAATGTAACATTTATATATTGTTATTATGGGTTTGTACCACTGTAATGTAACATTGTGTATTGATGTTTTGTATTATTATTTTGTCATAATGTTTTAAGTATTATAAAATATGTTGGTAAACATATATGCTATAGGTCTAGCTATGTGATTGTATAATATCTATTATGGTGGAGGAGATAGTGGTATATGATTTATTATAGCATGTCTTTTAGTGCATTTTTGTAGTAGGATGACATATGTTGACCACAAAGCTCTTATCTGATTTTTATTTATGCATGATGAACAGCCTAGGTGACTCCAAGTGTATATAGCGACTGTCGGAATGTTGAGCAATTCATATGGTGTACTGTGCTTATGAATTCTCATTTGGATACCTGTTTGTTAAGGGATGGTGGTTTTCTATATATTTATTTTTTTATGTTGTAATATTACGTTTTAAATAAAAAAAAAATACTGTGATCCTGGGAGAAGATTGGGGTTGGCGGATCGGGAGCCCTGGCGGGTGCCTACGGGGGCAGAGTTCCCATAGGGGGTTGCTGTATGGGTGGGGTTTGTGGTGTGGTGGGTGGGGGCAGAGGGATCAGTGTGTGAGTTTCGATTTAGATTGCTTAGTTGCCTTGGGGCTATCGCGGTTGGAGTCCTTCTGCGTGTGTTTCTGGAGGGTGTGTTTGCCCTTCCACCTGCATCTGGGTTCTTCTGCTCAACTTTGTCATTTCCTCTCGTTCCTTGTGTGTGTGTATACACTCTCCTATTTATATGTACATATTTCTTCGCGGGGGGTTGAGTCTAAGCGAGTGACAACGCCTTCAAAAGTTACTTGTACAAGCAGCACATTCATCCACCACTCGCTACATTTAGAAGTTACTCGCTACACTTAGCGCTTCACAAAAATATTAGTTTGTATCTTGAGTCGCGACCTACAAGAGCGGCGCTTCAAAGTGAGTGTAATCACGACAGTCCTACTGTATTAATACCCCCAGTGGAAACAAGTCACTTTGACCTTTTTTGGGTACCCTAGGTACTGTACACATATGCTACTATGTAAGATAATTTATATAACTCTGTGTGTACTTGTACCTAAATAAAAATTACTCATATTGTTATTGCCTTATTCATGTTAAGTCAGTGTTAAGTTTGCCGGAAATGCTCTGCGTATTTAAGGTCTTTCTGCGTAAACACCCAAATATCATTCACCTTTGTACATTGTATCATGTTGATATAAAGTATTATTATTATTACTTAAGCTGCTCTCCTCTGATAGCCCCAAGCACTGTATAACCCCAACGAGTTTAGCGTTCCATGTGAACGTAACGAAAAAAACTAATAACGCCACTATATTTCTCCGAGGCCAAACAAACGTCACCTTTTCATTAAAAGTGCAAAGTACACGAATGGAAATAAGTCACTTTGTCCTACCTTATTGGGATGTTATCCTAGGTCCTCTACACATATGCTGCTATGATAATCTATGTAAATGTATATGTATATACCTGAATAAACTTACAATTTGAAAAGTAGGGCAGGAAGGTAGGCTGGGCGAGGCGCACCTGACCATCACCAGTCTTTATACCAGTCACACTCTTGTTGTAACTCACACATGTTAGTGAAGTGTCTCGACGTGTGGCTAATATTTTAAAAATAAAGTGCCAATTCTGTCCAATAAAAAATAATGAAAACAGCAGCAGCAGCAGCAGCGTGTGGCACCTGGCGCTCCCATTGTTGCCATCTATGGCATTTTTTTTTTTTTTAGAAATCGCCATCTTGTTATACGAAATTATGTTATTGGATTATAATTATACAACGTGGTTATTCATATTTTTTCCGTTATGTTCAATATATTCATGGGAAAATTCTAAATCTAAATGAGTAATGTATTCAGCGCCTAGGAATGGGAAGTAAATAATAATAATAATAATAATAATAATAATAATAATAATAATAATAATAATAATAATAATAATAATAATTTATACAAGTCCATGATACAAGAGATGCAGTGAATTTTTATTTAGGCCTCACAGTAAGAGGAGGATAAGAAGTTAGTTTATTCAGGTATACACAAATACAGTTACATAGATTACCATACATAGCAGTATATGTGTACAGAACCTAGGATAACCCAAAAAAGTCAGAGTGACATTTCCATTGGGCTCCACCTCCGTGTATCAAGAACCCTTCAACATTATAAAGACAGTCTCCCACGAAAGGCTGAGAATAAATATGAATATGTAAGTAACCTCTGGAAGAATCATATTATGCATAACATTAGAGAGCAGACACAGCTTTTGTATTATATATAATGAATTTTGCCTGCTCTTATTTTAAAATGAATAACACTGTTTATATTTTGTAGGTAAATCAAATAGGCTGCCGTCCACTTGTCACCTGACACCAGTATATAAGCACCAGCCTTCTTACCTGTGCTCCAATACTGTATATGGTTATAAATGACCATAATTTTTAGAGGGGTGGGCCGGTAAGCCAGCGGAAGGTCTCGGTCAGATGACCAAAAGCTCCAAAGGCGGGTCATCATCTGATTAAGACCTGTGTTAGGAAACACTTGTCCTGTTTCCTGACAAACCTAACCTAACCTGTGCTCCAGACTCTTCATAACTACGGTGTTCTTCACACCAACACCAAGGCTGAGGGAATGATTGCTTCATCTTTTGTATATAGTTCTACCGTCTTCAAATTATGTCCTAGAATTTATATAATAAAGCCATTGGATGGCGAAACGTCTATATGAAAGATACCCAGATGTTGCACGTGTCTGATTTTCATCAAATCAAATAGGTCCACTTTTTGTAATAAATGGTTTATTAAGCTATATTGAGGCACAAGGTCTGTGAAGCCACAATTTTATTCATACCTACAATAGCTTGTATCTACATCAATAATCCTGACACGCCAACATAGGCTTGAAAATCTGATACACTATCTCAGAAGACCAGATTACAAGTGAAGCCTAGTACATCCGGCGTCTTCCCTGAAACAATCATAAGAAAACAGATTTAGCCTTTCACAGAGGCCTTTGAGGGGATTAAACTACCACCCCTAACCACTCTAACCTAAAGAAGTGTGTATGTGCTTACCTGAATGTGGTTACTGGGGTCGAGTCTTAGCTCCTGGTTCCGCCTCTCTGTCGTTTGTCAGTTTCACTCCCCGTACCTATTCTTTAAACTACGTATGGAACCTGCCCCCATTTTTTTCGTCGAGGTCATTCTACTTCCCGACCAGAAATGCTTCCTGACTTTCCCGTGATTCATCAGTGTTTTTAATTGCCAGTTGTGCCCCAGAGTACCTGCAAACAGCCTGTCCCAGTCTGCCAATATTAATTCCTCTGAGGAATTATGTATGTTATCATGTCGTCCCTAGTCCTGTCCTCCAGGGGCCGTTAGATTAAATTATTTTAGGCTCTCTTAGTAGCTCTGGAAATAGTCTCGTTGCATACTTCTTCTCTTTCTCTATTTCTTAACATGCTTCTTTGTGTGGGTTCCATACTGGAGCTGCGTATCCCAAGATGAGCCTGACTAGGCTGGATCATTTTGCTTAAGACGGTGGGAGACTTTGACCTGCCTCGCATGGGCCAATAGACCTGCTGCAGTGTTCCTTCTTATGTACACCCGGAATGACTCTGTTGAGATTCCTGAAGGCCACTCAAATTTGCCAGCATGCCAGGCATGTGTACTCGTCTAATATGTATTCTCAAGTCTCAGCTCTTGACCCGCCTCTTCTCTGGCCGTTGCTAGGTTTGCTCTTTCCTGGCTTCGAGAATCTTATCGTACCTCTTCTGAAAGCTATGTATGGATCCTACCTCTACCACGAGTGTGTGGACGTATGTATGTGGCCTGGTGGCTAAAGCTCTCGCTTCACACCGCGAGGGTCTGGGTTCGATTCCCAGCCAGGGTTGGAACAGTGGGCGTGTTTCTTTACACCTGTTGTCTATGGTCACCCATCAGTAAAATGGTACCTGGGTGTAAGTGGACTGGTGTGGGTCGCATCCTGGGATACTGACCTAATTTGCCTGAAATGCTCAGCATAACAAGGGGCTTTCTATATAGTAGTATGTCAGGTAGGACTGTATACCTTGTACATGTACTTGTAGTAATAAAGATATTATGTATATATATATATATATATATATATATATATATATATATATATATATATATATATATATATATATATATATATATATATATAGTGTGTGTGTATGTGGCTTGAAAATATACCTATTGTTTGAATAGTTGTTAAAAATGTGAAGGAGAGGATCATTTTATTATATATTTAATGTTTTATGTGGGTGTGTGTGGCAGTGGTGCGCGGCGCACCATAACACAGCCTCGCTCAGCACCAGCAGCCGGACCCGACGTGGCCACCATCACTATACCTCCCTTCTAGGTGATTATAACTAACCCCCCCATCTTATCCCCATCACCTGTCATGGCCTAGTGTCCCCCAGCATCCACTGTGATGCTTCCAGGACTTGTTCCTCTCTGGGTGGGGGAAATTTATGATTTTTTATCCTTCCCGGAAGGTAAGTCCGCCGTTGGAGGCGTACGTCCCTTGTCTTTCATTATTATTATCGTGTTTCTCCCCGATTTTGTTTACCCCGACGATGTCTTGAGATACACTGTTGTGCTTGATGTGTGTGTGGAGATGAAGAGGGTAAAAATACGTTTGTTGGGTGTAATGGAAGCTGGAAAAGCCTGGAAATAAGACAAAGGCTTGGGTCTTTGTGGCCCCCACGCCGCGCTGGGCCGCGTCCTCCATGACGCCTCTTAACACCACCCAAACTTATTTTTTCAGTTTTCTCAGTTATATACATAATTGAGACGTTGGTTGTCAGTGTGTACCTTCACTGTAGTCATTGACCATCTCTGTAAACTTATTCGTAAACCATTATCGCGTAATTTTGCCTAAATCTTTTTTAAAAATACCGGCGTATAAGAGTATTATGGTACCTACCATTGGACTTGTAATATAATTGATAACTCACCATTTCTCTTTTTTTTGCCATCATAGGTTAAATCATAATTTTCCTTTGGTGCATGCATAATTGTGTTTATGCAAACATTGTCTAAAAGTAAAATAATTATTAAAATTAATCTTGTTGCTTAATTGAAGTCATGTCTAGTTAGGTAAGGAAATTATTTTGCATTGCCGTTTTAATAATTACACATTGTATATAATAATTATATACAAAATATTTTATGGCAACCAGTATAGCTACAAGTCTTCGGAAAATTTTTAATTATTACCAGTAATAAGCTTGTGAATGCATAAAGTATTAGTTTGTAGCTTTACCATTGCCAGGAAATAAAGATGCTGGTGGTAGAGAATCCTTTTTAATTAAACATTTCCTCCAAGGCTAATGCCAATCAAAATGCTCTCACTTTGAAGGAATTGTTGAACATCTCAATTTTTCTCCATGGGAGGTTCCCTGACTAGTGAAGGTTTTTGATCCAGGGGATTGCCTTTCATGTTTCAGGTGCTTTATGCCCCCACTGGGTTTAGTGTTGGTAATAAGTGTTGGTAATGCAGGTGGTACAGATGTTAAGTATATGAACCAAGGTTGTAGTAGTATTGGTATACACGGATTTTGGAAAGCCTTTGACAAGTGTGATCATGGTGTAATAGTGCACACAATGCATTCTAAAGGAATAACTGGCAAAATGGGCAGATGGATCTTCAACTTGTAACCAATCGAATACAAAAAATAATGGTAAACAGAGTTAAGTTGGAGGGTGCCACAGTGAAAAGCTAATTTCCACAAGTCACAGTACTTGCCCCATTCTTTTCATCCTCATACCATTGAGGACACTGCAAAGCTCCAAGAAGATATAAACCAAGTTTTCCAATGGGTAACAGAGGACAATATGATGTTCAATGAAGACAAATTCCAACTACTCCGTTATGGAAAACTGGAGGAAATAATAACTAGAACTGAGTATACTACAAACTAATCACGCAGTAGAGTGAAAAAGTAATGTGAAGGACCTGAGTATGGTAATGTCCGAAGACCTCACCTTCAAGGACCACGACAATGCCACTATCACATCTGCAAGGAAACTGATAGGATGGATAATGAGAACATTCAAGATGAGATGCTAAGCCAATGATCCTTTTTAAATCACTTATTCTCCTTAGGCAGGAATACTGCTGTACATTAACATCCCCATTCATAGCAGGAGAAATTGCAGAACTAGAGAATGTACAGAGAACCTTTACTGCATGTATAAGTTCCATCAAACACCCTAACTACTGGGAGTACCTGGAAGCACTCGACTTGTACTCACTGGAGTGCAGGCGAGAGATATATATCATAATCTACACCTGGAAGATTCTGGAGGGACTGGTCCCTAATGTGCACACAGCAATCACTCCATACGAAAGCAAAAGACTTGGCAGGCGATGCAACATGCCCCCAGTGAAAAGCAGGGGTGTCACTGGTACACTAAGAGAAAATGCAATAAGTATCCGGGGCCCAAGACTTCAACAGCCTCCCACCAGCAATAAGGGGCATTACCGGTAGACCCCTGGTTGTCTTCAAGAGGGAGCTGGACAGATACCTAAAGATGGTGCCGGATCAACCTGGCTGTGGTTCGTATGTTGGATTGCGTGCAGCCAGCAGTAACAACCTCGTTGATCAGGCCTTGATCCACCGGGAGGCCTGGTCGTGGACTAGGCCGTGGGGGCATTGATCCCTGGAATACCCTCCAGGTAGACCAGATGTAGGCAGAGATGTAAACCATAGCACTGTGTCATCCTTTGCAGATGATACTAGAATCTGCATTCTAGTATCATTGGGGACATTGAGGACACAGTAAATCTCAAATTGATATAAACCAAGCTCTCTAATGGGCAACAGAAAACAGTGTGATGTTTGAGGACAGATTTTAACTTTTGGAAAACTGGAGGAAACGATAGCTAGAATGAAGTATACTACAAACTCTTAGCCGCACAATAGAGCAAAAAAAGTAATGTCAAGGACTTGGGAGTGTTACTGTCAGAGGATTTCACCTTCAGGGATCACAACAGTATTGCTATCACATCTCCGAGGAAAATGGGATGGATAATGAGAACCATCAAAACAAGGGATGACATGCCAATGATCCTTTTTAAATTACTTTTTCTGTGTCTAACACACCAACATCTTGGGATCTTGATACAGGGAATTCTTCAACTCTTGCCAAACTTAGAGGCACAACAACTTACACTAGTGGATTTTTTTGCAGATTGACTCTGCCTCCTCTTGCTTTAATTAATAATAGCAGCAGAAAATAAGTACAGTACCTTTGAACCAAATAATTGAGAAAGTAAGTAAATCGATAAGTATAAACTTCTTGCAAAAAAAAAAAAAAATGGTTGACGTCATATCAAGAATAAGTATTGGTGGCTCCTTTATTGGCATCTACATATAGTAGTTATTATTATATCCCATGGCTACATTTTTTTTTATTTTTATCTTGAAAAAATTAACATGAAAGTAAAACCTTGCTGTTTGCACTAGGTTGGAGGATTCTAACAACTTAAGCAAATTTCAATATGACATAAAAATATGTAACCATTCAGTACATGCTTTAGACTTTGTTAAAATGGGCACAGTAGATGCAATGTTCTTATTTATTTGGGCAATGATGCCTAAAATTCAAATGTAAATAGTTGTACTGTGTAGTGTGGGAGCTTGTACTATGTGCTGCATTTTAGGCAGTTAAAATAACTTACTTTTGATAAAAGTCAGTAATAAGTGTTTCCTATAAATTTTTCTTACAGAATTTTAAAATATACAAAGATGGCAGAGGGAATGCTATCGTTATCATGGAACAATCACAGAGCAACATTTTGTCACATACTCTCAACACTCAGGGAAAAGGTAAGGTGTTAATACTTGTATTTGTTTATCTAATTATAGTCTGTATACTTAGTTTAATTATAATTTATTTAAAAAAAATTCTGAAAAGGTAGATTACAAGGGAGAATGATGCAAAACCATAAAAGAAGCAAAAATTATTGAATTAAAGAAAAAGATGATTAGTAAGTACAGGTCCTCCATCACAAATCCGGCATCATTGGGACCTGTAGTGTGCCGGATTACTGAGTTTGCCGAATTACAGAGTGGTTAGGTTAGAATACACTTAATAAAATTAACCAACTTGACTTACATAGTTCATTGAACATCGGCAAAAATCGAACATTTCCGCTACTTTGAGCTCAACTTCAAGGTACTTTTCGTCATGAAAGCAATCAAAATCATGTCTATTTCTGTAATATATCTTCCATTCTATCAAATGAGTCCAAAAAATGAGAATACAACCATAAAAACCATACAAAAATATACTGCAAAGAGGCGGCTAATGGCTGAGAAGTGAACTCCCTTATTTATCGTCCGTCTTTTTTATTTTTGTTGCACGTTAAGAAGCATCTTTCCATCATCCATTGCCCAAGTTTCAATGAGATAGCCCAACAAACAACCGAGAAAAAAAAAATTTACCAAAAATCATATATGGCAAACCCAAGCCAGGTACTAGAAATAAGTCACTTTGTCTGACTTTTTTGGGTTATCCTAGGTTCTCTATACATACACTGCTATGTATGATAATCTATGTAACTGTATTTGTGTATACCTGAATAAACTTATTTACTTCTAGTCTGTCAACTGAGTACAAGAAACCGCCCATTCACTTACTTCAACTACCCAATAAAGTGGTCAGAAATTGGCAATTTGGCCGATTTCACACAAATTTCAACAGATGCCAGTTTCAAAATAGGACCCAGAATAAACAATGCAGACATTCCTGGCACTAAAATAATATTTTCTCTGTTCATTAGTCATGGCTCCAGGCCTCTCTTATATTACTCTTGCTTACCATTTGGAATTTTTATTCACAAAAAAATAGAAGATTTACTGTTATGCATTATTGTAATAATTGTATAAATAATGTCAATCCATTCTTGACTCCGTACTGGAATTTGGACGGGCAGGCGGACAGGTATTGGATGGTGTTTATACTCTTGAGCTTTGCTAAAGAATAGAACATTTTCGTTACTGTGAGCGCAATTTCAAGGTACTTTTCGTCATGAAAGCAATCAAAATCATATCTATTTCTGTAATGTATCTTTCATTCTATCAAATGAGACCGAAAAAATGAGAATATAACCATAACAACCATACAAAAATGTACTGCTAAGCGGCCGCTAATTGCTGAGAAGCGAACTCCGCTATTTATGGTCTGATTTCTTTTATTTTTGGTGTACATGAAGAAGTATCTTTCCATCATACATTGCCCAAGTTTGAATAAGATAACCCAACAACTGATAAAATAATAATAATAATAATAATAATAATAATAATATTTTATTTACTACACATACATGTACAAGGTATACAGGCCTAGCTGACATCAGTGACATACTACTGTATAGAAAGGCACTTTTTACGCTGAGTATTTCAAGAAAATTAGGTCAGTGTCCCAGGATAACACCCACTAGTCGGCTAACACCCAGGTACCCATTTACTGATGGGTAGACATAGACAACAGGTGTAAAGAAACACCTAATGTTTCTACCCTGGCTGGGAATCGAATATTTACCAAAAATGATGTATGGCTAACCCAAGCCAGGTACTAAAAATAAGCCACGTTGACTTTTTTGGGGTTATCCTAGGTTCTCTACACATATGCTGCTATGTGTGATATTCTATAGAGAGAAAATAGCTTTTTTGTTTCATGTTTATGGTGGAGTACGAGTGTATATCATAGTTAGCCCTGTGCTACACTCCGTTTTCTCTAATATAAGCCACCAAGACAAGGATAGGAAAATGCTATTTGTTTACCATATCCTCTTCATAACTCTGTCGAACTGCTCAGTGTTATGCCAAATATTATTCATTCTGGAGTATTTAACATGTTTTATGTTATTTATATTGTTTCTTATGTCATGTTAGATCAATTGTGATAGGCAAATAAGCTGTAGTGTTGATATTAGCGTAATAATAAAGCATATTCTCCTGCTTCATGAGACTGAGCTCATGGCAACCGACAGTGGCTTCAACGCCACCTTATCTTTAATGGATAATGTACTGTGTAGGTGCTTTACATAATGAGAAGCATTTCTTTTATTCATTGGAACCATGGCTAGGGCTAAAGGTAAGCAGGTTAAAACAATAAATGGAGAAAAAGAAATTGGAATGACTTATGCAGCAAGTAGCGCCACCAAACAGTACCAGCAGGTTGGTGTGGCGACCCTGGAAATTTGAAATTATGCTAGCCAAAATTAGTGCCGAATAACTGAAGGAACCGAATAACTGATTGCCGGATTTGTGATGGCGGACCTGTAGTAAGAGGTATGAACAACTGTTGGAAAATTGAGTAAGATGAAAGTAATGGTGGTTGAAAAGGTATGGTGCAAATTCAAGAATTTAGACTTAATCAGAAACTACCTGGCAATAAAATTATACACCTAGAAATTGTTGCACTACATGTACTCTTTTCACATTCTTAATTGATGTTTAAACCTCACTGCATTACAATTTTTTTAATTATGTACATTCTCTATTTATCTTTGTTTAGTAATCCTTTCTGATTATTTTTCTTCCAAGGTTGCCAATGTAGGACTGACAAGATTAATGTTAAGGTGTCTTAGAACTTTTATTTGGGTTTGTAACTTCAGAAACTAAAAGTATGATAAAAATACTCAGGAGCAGCTCCAGAATTTCTGAATAGGAGGGGTTTAGTGGTGGCAGTCTGGTTGGAAGGGGAGCCAGGGCCCAGGGGACTTGTTTTGAAGCTGCATTTACAGAGCTGGTTTGCAGTTTTTACTGAATACAACAGATCAATAAATATATCAAGGTTTTTTAAAAGTGAGTTTATCCACACATCCATATCAAAGAATGAGAACAGTAATTACATAAAATTATGTCAGTAGGTAGGCCATCAAAATAATGTTTATGTGCTTTGCAGAATTATCACCATCATTATCGTGATCATTATATATTATTTTTATTTGGGGTGGCTTTGGGGGAGATTATGGGGGGTTGAAGCCCTAAGCCATCCTTTGATACTGCCACCAAAAATACTACTGAATTTTTTTTTTTTTTGTGCAGGAGAGATATACAGATGTGACTGTAGCATGTGATGGAAAATTTTATCAAGTACACAAGTTGGTATTATCAACGTGTAGTGAATACTTTGAGAAAATCTTTGAAAACACCCCGTGTAAACACCCAGTTATTGTGTTGAAAGATGTACAGACTGATGAACTAGAAGCTCTCTTAAGCTACATGTATGAAGGAGCTGTGAGTGTAGCACAGAATGATCTAGCACGTTTAATTAAAGCAGCAGAAGTGTTGAGAATAAAAGGACTAGCCGTTCCTGATGAACCTCCCTTGTCAGAATCTTGTAGTAAAAGGGTGACCCAATCCCGAAATGCCTCAGATGACAGAAGTAGTCCACATCCAAAACGGCGAAGACGAGAAGAGAGCAACACGTCTTTGCAAGGAGCACAAACTTCTACTTCACCACCAGCCTCACCTAGAGTATCTTCATTTGAGAGTGAAGGTGAAACCCACCATTCAACTTCAAGAACACAATCTGACAGTCGTTGGATGGATCAGAGGTCTTCAGAAAGAGAGGATCAAAGCACAGACCACCCACTGGATGACAGACTGGGTGACCATACAGCTACCAGCCGCTCCTCACCAACTCCCCCTCAGGTTGAGGTTTGTGAGATGATGTTATTGTGCTATTTTAAACTAAACTTGAAATTTTGTGTTGAAATCTTGTACATGATGTAAAGCACTTTGTTCAGAATTTTAACCTGGTTTAATTGTATTTCTTTACATTTATTTTCTAGGTCATGGTAGATGAAACTCTAGTCAAAGAGGAAATGGTTGATCATGTAGACAACAGTCAAGATGATATTGTGGACTCAGGGATGGACTATGGGTCTATGGGAAGTGACTCTAGATTAGATGGTTCAGGTGGTGGTGAAGAAGATCCCTCAAGTCAAATGTTACCTAACAAATTTGAACCAAAAATCAATCCATCACAAGGACAAGCACAGCAATTACCAGATGCTGTTGTAGAAGCATTAGCAGGACCCTCAGGGATGCAAGGGGTATGCATTGCATTTTCTTTATAGTTCAGCTTTTTTTTTTTTTTTTTTATCTTGGGTAGAGAATGCATGTTAAGTGAGTCTTCTCAATATACTTTACTACTGTTCTATTATACTCAGTTCTTTATAATTTAATTCCTGTGATGTAAACCAAACAGCTTATGTACACTTACTTTAATATTTGGTTTGAATTTTTGTGTTACTGACAGAGTCCTTTTGTTTTTGCGATGTTCATGATGTGCACAGGGGCTGAAATGCCACACCATAATCAGCCATTATCCTAAATGGAAATCGTGGACACTACAGTACTGTGCTGTACACGTGTAGTGCATCTGCTTACGTTGCTACTGTGACAGTTTTTATTATGTGAGATTGCATAATTATTAAAACCTTTTTACTAATCAACTATGAGGTAAAGAGGGTGATAAGGGAGAAAAAGTTAGCATATAAGAGGTTTTTTAAAATGTTGGAAGTGGTCTGTGGAGGACAGAGTAACAGAGATATAAGAGTGGTGACGGAGTGCAGAAGGAGAGCTAATGAGGGAATGGGTGTGGGTTTTTTTTTTTTTTTCAAGAAATTTGGCTGAGAATGAGGAAAGGTTTCAGAGCAAGATCAGTAGGTCTTGTTTTTGAGTAGTTGTACATTTAGAAAAAAAAAAAAAAAAAAAAAATGTACAGTAGACAGTTGGGCAGCCTTAAAGCTAACTTATAATTACTAGACAATAAAGCACACAGTACATAAGTGTTTATTGGTGTAACCCAGGTAGATAACTTTGTAAGCTCATTAATAGTGTTATTAAATTTAGATTTGGGTGGGAGATGACAAAAGTTACATTGTCTGCAAACAGAACAGGTCTAAGTGTATTTGGAAGATCATTGATGTGTATATGAGGACAAATGGAGAGCCGAGAACACTGCCTTCGGACATCCCTATGTCGATAGGTCACGTTGACGAGGTTATACCCTTAATGGAGACGCATTGGTGTTAAGGTAGGACTTTAGACATGCAAGTGTGTGACATCTGATACCATAATGTTCAAGTTTAACCCTTAAACGGTCCAAATAGATCGACGTTCAGATCCGTAGTGCTCCAAAAGTAGATTTATGTTTTTTTACATATTTTCAAATACAGTGGTCCCTCGCTTTTCGTAGTTCTCGGGAATCATAGATTTCGGAAATCATAAGGATATTTTTGTATAAACATGGGCTCGCTTATCATAGGTTGACTCACGAGTAGTAGTTCGTCCGGGACGCGTACGCACGGTGTGAGCCGGGGCGGCAGCCAGTCTGGCATTGTTTACCAGTGAGCGAAGGACCCCTCACGTGCTCCTACGAAATATTTCATAATATTCCACTCATTTTAGTGCTTGCAAGTACTAAATAAGCTACCATGGCTCCAAAGAAAACTCCTAGTGCCAAGCCTGTGGTAAAGAAGGTGAGAAATACGATTGAATTTAAGAAAAACATCATTGAACAATATGAAAGTGGCACAAGTGCGGCCGAACTGGCCAGGATGTATAAGAAACCCTACACAACCATATGTTCCATAGTGGCCAAGAAAAAGGAAATCAAGGACACTGTTGTTGCAAAGGGGGTAACTATGCTAACAAAAATGAGATCACCAGTACTTGAAGAGGTTGAGAAGTTATTATTGGTGTGGATAAATGAGAAACAATTAGCAGGAGATACTCTTATGACTTCGATTGTTTGTGAAAAGGCTAGGCAGTTGCACAACGATCTGGTAAAGAAATTGCCTGCAAATAGTGGTGATGTGAGTGAATTTAAGGCCAGCAAAGGTTGGTTTGAGAGATTTAAGAACCGTACTGGCATACACAGTGTGGTAAGGCATGGTGAGGCTGCCAGTTCAGACCACAAGGTGGCTGAAAAATATGTGCATGAATTCAAGGAGTACATAGAGGCTGAAGGACTGAAACCTGAACAAGTGTTCAATTGTGACGAAACAGGCCTCTTTTGGAAGAAAATGCCAAAGAGTACCTTCATTACACAGGAGGAAAAGGCAATGCCAGGACACAAGCCTATGAAAGACAGGCTGACGCTCATGTTCTGTGCTAATGCTAGTGGGGATTTCAAAGTGAAGCCATTACTAGTGTACCATTCTGAAAATCCCAGAGTGTTCAGGAAAAACAATGTTAAGAAAAGTAAATTGTGTGTGTTTTGGAAATCTAATAGTAAGGCATGGGTCATGAGGGAAATTTTCGTCGAGTGGTTCAAGAAGTTTTTGGGCCCCTTTGTGAAGAATTACCTCCTGGAAAAGAAATTGGATTCAAGTGGTGCTAGTAAGGGACAATGACCTGCTCATCCTCCAAACTTGGATGACCTAATTTTCGAGGAGTTTGGGTTCATCACAGTAAAAATTCTTGCCCCCGAATACCACTCCTCTCCTCCACCCCATGGACCAGCAGGTCATTGCAAACTTTAAAAAACTCTACACCAAAGCAATGTTTCACAGGTGCTTGATGTGACCACAGACACTCAATTGCCCCTTTAAGGGAATTTTGGAGAGAACACTTCAGCATCCTCCATTGCATAACCCTTATAGGTATGGCTTGGGAGGGAGTGACTACCAGGACTTTGAACTTGCTTGGAGAAAATTGTGGCCAGATTGTGTCGACAAGAGGGGTTTTGAAGGGTTTGTTGACTGACCTGATGAGCCTATGGTCTGTTTTTAAATCAATTGTGGCACTGGGGGGTTCCATGGGGGTTTGGGTGTGAGTTTGGAGGATGTGGAAGAATTGGTGGAAGACCACAACGAAGAGCTCACCACTGAGGAGCTGCAAGAGCTTCAGCAGGACAGCAACAGATTGCAGCTCAGAATCTTGCTTGCAGAGGAGGAAGAGAGATGGAAGAAGGTGCCTTCTTCAGAAAATTAAAGAGATTTTTGCTATGTTGGGGTAAGATGGAAAGCTTTATGGAGAAACATCACCCTGACAAGGTTGTTGCAAGCCATGTTGGCAACATGTACAGTGACAAAGTCTTGGGGGCCCTTTTAGGGAAGTGTTAAAGAGACGCCAGAAACAGAGCTCTCTCCAAAGTTATTTTGCGAGACAGGACTCCAGTGACTCTAAAGGTGGTCCTAGTGGCATTAAGAAACAGAGAAGAGAAGTAACCCCAGAAAAGCAATTGGTACCTGAAGTGTTGATGGAAGGGGATTCCCCTTCCAAACTATAAACAATCCAATCTCTCTCCTCCTCCAGTCTCCCATACACTAAGAAGAATCTCCAATAAAGGTAAGTGTTATGCTGTTAATCTTTCAGTCATCATTTCCCATTGTATTGTTTATGTACTACATGTATATTTCATGTAAAAAATTTTTTTTGTTTTAATACTTCTGGGTGTCAGGAACGAATTAATTGTATTTACATTATTTCTTATGGGGAAAATTGATTCGCAAATCGTAGATTTCGTTAATACAGTGGACCCTCAACCAGCGATATTAATCCGTTCCTAAGAGCTCATCGTTAATCGAAATAATCGTTAGTCAAGTTAATTTTCCCTATAAGGAATAATGGAAATCAAATTAATCCGTGCAAGACACCCCAAAGTATTGAAAAAAAAAATTTTAACACATGAAATATTAATTTTAATACACATAAACTGAAGAAGACATGCACAGTTACATGACACTTACCTTTATTGAAGATCTGGTGATGATTGATGGGATGGGAGGAGGGGAGACTGTTGATCTTCTTAGTGTTTAGAAGGGGAATCCCCTTCCATTAGCACTTGAGGTAGCAAGTCTTTTTCTGGGGTTAGTTCCCTTGTTCTTTTAATGCCACTAGGACCAGCTTCAGAGTCACTGGACTTCTGTCTCACAACATATCTGTCCATAGATACCTGTACCTCTCGTTCCTTTATGACTTTCCTAAAGTGGTTCACAACATTGTCAGTGTACAGGTTGCCAACACGGCTTGCAGTAGCTGTGTCAGGGTGATTTTCATCAAAAAAGGTTTGCACTTCAAGCCACTTTGCACACATTTCCTTAATCTTAGAAATAGGCAACTTCTTCAATTTCTCTATCCCCTCCTCCGAAGCAGTTTCCTCAGGTCTGCCCTCTTGCTGTTCAAGATGATCTAGCAGCTCATTAGTGGTTAGTTCTTCATTGTCCTTCTCCACCAGCTCTTCCACATCCTCTCCACTAACCTCCAACCCCAAGGACTTCCCCAATGCCACAATGGATTCCTCAACTGGCATAGGATTCTCAGGATTAGCCTCAAACCCTTCACAATCCCTTTTGTCTACACATTCTGGCCACAGTTTTTTCCAAGCAGAGTTCAAGGTCCTCTTAGTCACTTCTTCCCAAGCCTTACCTATAATGTTTACACAATTGAGGATGGTAAAATGATCTTTCCAAAACTCTCTTAGAGTCAGTTGAGTTTCTGAGGTCACTACAAAGCACCTTTCAAACATAGCTTTTGTGTACAGTTTCTTGAAGTTGGAAATGACCTGCTGGTCCATGGGCTGCAGGAGAGGAGTGGTATTAGGAGGCAAAAACTTCACCTTAATGAAACTCATGTCCCTAGAAAGTTGCTCTGCCAAGTCTGAAGGATGACCAGGATTATTGTCTAGTACCAGGAGGCACTTAAGGTCTAATTTCTTTTCAATTAGGTAATTTTTCACATTGGGGGCAAATGCATGGTGTAACCAGTCATAGAAAAAGTCCCTAGTGACCCATGCCTTACTGTTTGCCCTCCACAGCACACACAAATTAGCCTTGACGACATTGTTTTTCCTGAACACACTGGGAGTTTCAGAGTGATACACCAATAAAGGCTTCACTTTGCAATCACCACTAGTATTGGTGCACATCAACAGATTACGCCTGTCTTTCATAGGCTTATGTCCTGGGAGTGCCTTTTTCTCCTGAGTAATGTATGTCCTGCTTGGCATTTTCTTCCAAAACAGGCCTGTTTCGTCACAAACACTTGTTCAGGTTTCAGTCCTTCACTGTCTATGTACTCCTTGAATTCCTGCACATATTTTTCA